AAAAGAAAGGACAGCGTATAGTGGAGATTGAGGAAAGGATAAAAAGCGATCAAGGCATCAGAAGACGTCCATAGACATTACATTTAAATTTTTGAAGATTATCGTTATCAGGGAAGTAAGTAAGAGGAAGGGAGTTTCCCTGTCGGGAAGTGCGATAGAAGAAGCTGTTGAAGTAGAAAAGCTGGTTACATTTAACTGTTTTGACAGTATAAGGCTGGAAGATTCCAACCTAGTAGCACGCTTAAATTCATGTCGGGGCACCAGTGAAAATGGCTCGTCAAAGCAGTTGCCATGAAAATATTTGTAGAAAAGACAGAGGGAAGCCACATGACGTCTGTGAGAAAGTGACTGCAGTCGAGATGCCAGCTCAGCACTGATCATATTGCATATCCCTCTTTGGATTTTGTGGAGAACCTCGAGATGAACAGCGGTGTGTGTGTGTGGGGGGGCGTTGCTTCACCAGACCATATATGGCAACATTATTCCATGCATGGACGAATGATAAATTTGTAGATTTGAAGGATGGACTCAGACGAGAAAAAAACCTTCTGGTACGACACAGAGAACCAACTTTCCTTGTGGTAGACGCAGCTATGGATTCAATGTAGCTGTCCCACCTCAGGCCAGTGGAAAACGTGATACAACCCACAGGTTCTTCGTATAGTTAACACACACACACAGGTTCTTAGTATATATCTATCTTAGTCTATTCATATATATATATATATATATATATATATATATATATATATATATATATATATATATATATATATATATATATATATATGTGTGTAGTTACTTTATATTGAGATTACATTGCACGGAGAGATAAATAAACACCGCATGTATGTCCGTATGTATATATGCCTATTTCTGTGTATATATATCTCTCTCTCTCTCTCTCTCTCTCACACACACACACAGACGTGGATATATATATATATATATATATATATATATATATATATAGTTATAGTTACTAGGAAAGATTACCAAATATTGAGATTACATTGCCAGTGCGGAGAGATAAATAAACACCGCATGGTCGGGTTATCACTTCAGGTGTGAGACTGTTAGTCCTCATGCCTCGTTTATTTCTGTGGTCACACCAATATCTCTCTCTCTCTCTCTCTCTCTCTCTCTCTCTCTCCACACACACACACAGACATTATATATATATATATATATATATATATATATATATATAGTAAATTAAACTCGTTTGGAAAAACCTTAGGTGTTTTGGCTTGTAAATGAACAAACCAATACACAAGGAAAAAATAAGGGATAAAAAGAAAGAAAAAGAAAATGTAATTGAGGCGGAAACAATCGTCCAGAATCCAAGTTCAAAGAAAAAAACCTTTCAAAACGAGTAAAGCAAAAGTAACTAAGTAAAGTGCTCAATACACTAAATAGAGAAAATCCTCAGGGTAGGTAGGTTTGCCTGGTTCTTTAGGTTCCTAGTTATATATATATATATATATATATATATATTAATCATTTCATCCCAAGCAAGGCAACCGAACCACTAAGACGCAAAGAATTACTGATCATGAGAGAATATTATAAAAACAGAAAATTATTCAACAGAGAGAACAATAAAAGAACAGGAAGACAGAAGATAACGATTGACATTGCATTTAAATTTTTTAAACATCAAAGTCGACTGGGAAGCAAGAAACCGGAAGAGAGTTACTCAAGCGTTACATTTACCATTTCAGCTGTAATCTAGTAAAACACTAAAATTTGTTAAAACGTGGTACTAAATAAGGAAGATCATCAGAATAATTACCACGAAAACATTTATAAAAAAAGGTAGAGGAAAGCTACGTTATAGCTGTGAGAAAGTGACTGAAGCTGAGATGCCATATCAGAACCGATAACATTGCATAGTCTTCCTTGGTTTTTAGGAAGAATCTCTAAATACATAGCAGGTGTACCAGATCAGGTGTGACAGCGATAGTCAATGGATGGACAAATGGTAGACTTATAAATGTGTAAGATTCTGGCGAGAAAAACTGCCTAGTATGACACAGTGAACCAACTTTTGTAACAATAGAACTATCAATTGATTTAACACAATCATCACATTTCACGACAGCGGAAAACATTAGTCCGACTCACTCTCTTGGAGGTTAGCATCAGCCTTGTCGATAGAAAAGGTAAATATATATATATATATGTATGTATGTATGTATGTATATATTATAGAAATAATAATGGCAAGACGTGCTTTATCATTCATGATTAAAAGGAAAATAGGAAAAAAAAATTAACCAGCCGACTGGTTTCGCCCTCACTCTACAGAGCTGAAATCGAAGCAAGACTAAATATTGCAATATAAAATATAAAAACAAGAGAAGCATGTGCTTTTCATGCTTCTACGGCAGTTTTCATGTAGTTTGCGGCCATTTTCCACTGGCCAGAGTGAGAGCCTATAGCTGGCTGTCACGAATAAGCAGGAATATTCTATTTGCCAGCGTGAGAGCCAACAGCTGACTGACACGTATGTTAACCATCAAGCTAGCATGGAAAAAAATCGATAGCTGCATTCGTCACAAGTGGGAAAAATTTAAATTTAAGTCCTTTTTTTAAAGTTGATCGTTTTGTGTTCATTTTGTTTAGTTCTTTTTTCGTAACAGATTTAATGTTTAGTATAGAGCTTAGAAAAAATTCGCAGGGTGAGATAGGCAAGAAGTAAGGCATGTAGCAACATCAGCATGGCAATGGGCACTCCTTTAAAGGCAAGGAAAGGCAAAACTATTTTAAGTCAAGTGATAGCGATTGCTGTATGAGTCGTACGATTTTTGAATCAAGCACGGGCAACGCCAGGCCATGCTGCTAGTATCATAATAAACGACATTTCATTTAATTTTTTTTTTGAATATACGTTGGTATGAAAAGCTGTCACAGTACCATCGTACGTGATCGTTTTATATTAAAACTTAGCGCTCCTAGTGCCATTCGACGTCAAAAACTGAACGAACTTTTTAAGCTGCTCAGTAGCCTTCTTTATACATATGATATTGGGTTAATGCATTTAGCGCTATTGTTATTTATATTTTTCTCTCCACCCCCTAATCTACATTCCATTTTGGGCAGGAAATGTAATAATTCAAGAGTTGACACGAAGATTACGTAGAATATTCTACTTTCATTTTTCTGAGGCTTACGTTTTTTTTTCTTTGTTTTTCTTTGTTTTTCATTGTTATCATGAATGCATGGGCTCTGCTACATTAACCACGGCTTTAAAAAAATGTCTAACTGCGAGAACGAAGCAATAATTTTTACAAGTAAAACAAAAAAAAATTAAGTGTTTATAAGACGTACTCAAGTATACTCAGGCACCCATTCATTTATATCCAAAGTTTAAACTCGGAAATAAAAAAAAGACTCCTACAGAAATGTGTTTTGGCAAAGGAAAAATATTGTTTCCGCTCGTTATATGAACCGGGTTAAAGGTAAATGTCCCCTGAGTAGATATCTTAACGGGGGAAAATGATATCAGGGAAAATAGTTGGGTCTCTTTCGGTAGACTCGATCAATGAACTCTTAACCCTGGGGCTGAGGTTACTGAAATAATCTTCGCACACGATCCATGATAAAATAATTATCGAGATTAGTGCTATAAAAAGAAAACTACAACAGATATCAATTCGGCATTTAATCTCCTTCGAAGTAGTCCCCTTTTGAATCAGCATACTTTAAACAGCGTAGTTTATCCCAAGTAGTACATGAAATCACAAGTCTGATCAAATAGTATCGAGACTGTCGCTTTAAAAAGAAAACTACAACAAATATCAATTCGGCATTTAATCTCATTCGAAGTAGTCCCCTTCTGAATCGACATACTTTATCCAGCGTCGTTTCCATTGATGGAAAAATAACTCTTTTGGGATAGCGAGCATCTGCTTCGTCTAATTCTCTTGGATTTTCTCGACGTCTTCAAATCTTGTTCCTTTCAAGTCGGGCTTGATTTTTGAAGAGAAAAATGTCGCAAAGGGTGCGATCTGGTGAATATGGCGGTTGTCGGACTTGGGAAATGTTGTTCTTGACTAAAAACTGCTGCAGAAGGTATGGTTACTGATAATATCACCATTATGTTGAGACGACCACACTCTACACACTTTCTTTCCCACACTACTATAAAGAACGAAAATGAACTAGAACGTTATAACTTAGTGTGCAAACAGGATAGAGTTCAAAATCAATAATTTCCCGGCAGCTTCACTATGGGCACTTTAGCACCGTTGCCGTCATAATAGTCGCGATACTTTTTGATCAGACCTCGTATCCGTTACTTTTGGTTATGAAGATTTTAGTCTAGAGGAGGCTTACGAAATGATGTGCCGTATATGGCGGATTGTTTTTTAAAAAACAAACGTTTGAATAAACTTTTTGGGGGAAATTCTGAAAACGTGACCTATCTATAAGTTAAGATAAAATATATAGAAGTGTAAGCGTTTGGTAGAAAGTGTGAGAAATTTTGATTCTTTAAGATAAAACTGCAGGTAAAATTTGACCCCAAACCAATGGTGGTGAGGATTCACATATTTTTACGAAGCGGTTTTTTTCTTCTCTCACATAAGAATTGTTGGCTATGGAATAAAGAGTTTTTTTCTACATTTTTTTTTCGATATATATAAACTAAAAAATGAGGAAAATAAACATCTTCTGCAAAATCCCAAATACTCTGCGAATACGTCAACGCAGTTGCTTAACATGGTTGGCCATTCTTGATCCAAAGTCGGACCTGTTGCTTGATTCCACATTCCAATCTTTTCGATGGATGTCTAAAGTAACCTGATTCAAACTGGCGCGTTAATAAATAAACGACAGAAAACCTTTGGGAGAAAGGAACACGATCTTAGCTGACAAACGAACACGAGGCACAAATTCACTGCAGAAATCTATCTATTTATCTATCTGGCTCGGTCTGTTAATATCTATACAATATTTCCATCGATCTATCTAGCTCGGTCTGTTAATATCTCTAGAGTATCTCCATCTATCTATCTGGCTCGGTCTGTTAATATCTCTAGTGTATCTCCATCTATCTATCTGGCTCGGTCTGTTCATATCTCTAGAGTATCTCCATCTATCTATCTGGCTCGGTCTGTTAATATCTATAGAGTATCTACATCTATCTATCTGGCTCGGTCTGTTCATATCTATAGAGTATCTACATCTATTTTCTGGATCGATCTGTTCATATCTATACAATATTTCCATCTATCTATCTGTCGGTTTGTTCCTTCTATCATCTATTTTCTGGATCGTTCCATATCTATAGAGTTCTACATCTATTTTCTGGCTCGGTCTGTTCATATCTATATATTTCCATCTATCTATCTGGCTCGGTTTGTTCATATCTATAGAGTATCTACATCTATTTTCTGGATCGGTCTGTTCATATCTATAGAGTATCTCTATCATCTATTTTTCTGGCTCGGGATCTGTTCATATCTATACTAATCTATTTCCATCTATCTATCTGGCTCGGTCTGTTCATATCTATAGAGTATCTACATCTATTTTCTGGCTCGGTCTGTTCATATCTATACAATATTTCCATCTATCTATCTGGCTCGGTCTGTTCATATCTATAGAGTATCTACATCTATTTTCTGGATCGGACTGTTCATATCTATAGAGTATCTACATCTATTTTCTGGCTCGGTCTGTTCATATCTATACAATATTTCCATCTATCTATCTGGCTCGGTCTGTTCATATCTATAGAGTATCTACATCTATTTTCTGGATCGGTCTGTTCATATCTATAGAGTATCTACATCTATTTTCTGGTTCTGTTCATATCTATAGAGCATCTACATCTATTTTCTGGTCTGTTCATATCTATACAATATTTCCATCTATCTATCTGGCTCGGTCTGTTCATATCTATATATCTATCTATTTTCTGGATCGGTCTGTTCATATCTATACAATCTATTTTATCTGGATCGATCTGTTCATATCTATAGAGTAATCTATTTTTCCATCTATCTATCTGGCTCGGTCTGTTCATATCTATAGAGTATCTACATCTATTTTCTGGTTCGGTCTGTTCATATCTATACAATATTTCCATCTATCTATCTGGCTCGGTCTGTTCATATCTATAGAGTATCTACATCTATTTTCTGGATCGATCTGTTCATATCTATACAATATTTCCATCTATCTATCTGGCTCGGTCTGTTCATATCTATAGAGTATCTACATCTATTTTCTGGATCGATCTGTTCATCTATCTATCTTCAATATTTCCATCTATCTATCTGGCTCGGTCTGTTCCATCTATCTATCTATCTTCTACATCTATTTTCTGGTTCGAGTATCTATTTCCATCTATCTATCTGGCACGTCTATTTTCTATTTTCGGTCTCTTTCATATCTATACAATATTTCCATCTATCTATCTGGCTCCTGTTCATATCTGTTCTATTTTTCTGGATCGATCTGTTCATATCTATAGAATATCTCCATCTATCTATCTGGCTCGGTCTGTTCATATCTATAGAGTATCTACATCTATTTTCTATCTGGCTCATATCTGTTCATCCATCTATCTATCTGGCTCGGATCTGTTCAGATCTATCTATCTATCTATTTTCTGGATCGATCTGTCATATCTATACAATTCTCCATCCCATCTATCTGGCTCGGTCTGTTCATATCTATCTATCTCTGGATCAGGTCTGTTTCATATCTATAGAATATCTACATCTATCTATCTGGCTCGGTCTGTTCATATCTATAGAGTATCTACATCTATTTTCTGGATCGATCTGTTCATATCTATAGAGTATCTACATCTATTTTCTCTATCTGTTCATCTATCATCTATTCTGGATATCTTCATATCTATAGAGTATCTACATCTATTTTCATCTATTCATATCTATCTATTTCCATCTATCTATCTGGCTCTGTTCATATATCTACATCTATTTTCTGGCATCATATCTATATATCTGGCTCAATATTTCCATCTATCTATCTGGCTCGTCTGTTCATATCTATAGATCTATCTACATCTATTTTCTCTGGATCGGTCTGTTCATATCTATCTATCTACATCTATTTTCTGGCTCGGTCTGTTCATCTCTATACAATCTATCTATCTATCTGGCTCGGTCTGTTCATATCTATAGAGTATCTACATCTATTTTCTGGCTCGGTCTGTTCATATCTATAGAGTATCTCCATCTATTTTCTGGCTCGGTCTGTTCATATCTATAGTCTACTATCTATCTCATCATATCTATAAAGTATCTACATCTATTTTCTGGATCATCTGTTCCCGTTCTATCTATCTCTATCTATCTGAGTTCTTATATCTATATCCATCTGGCCTCTGGTCAATATTTCCATCTATCTATCTGGCTCAGTCTGTTCATATCTATAGAGTATCTACATCTATCCTCTTTCATATCTATACAATCTTTCCATCTATCTATCTGGCTCGTCTGTTCATATCTATAGAGTATCTACATCTATTTTCTGGCTCGGTCTGTTCATATATCTATTTCCATCTATCTATCTGGCTCAGGTCTGTTCATCTATCTATAGATCTATCTACATCTATTTTCTGGCTCGGTCTGTTCATATCTATACAATATTTCCATCTATCTATCTGGCTCTATTCATTCTATCTATCTCATCTATTTTCTGTTCGGTCTGTTCATATCTATACAATATTTCCATCTATCTATCTGGCTCGGTCTGTTCATATCTTACAGATATCTATCTATTTTCTGGATCGGACTGTTCTACATAGAGTATCTATTTTTTCTGGCTCCGTCTGTTCATATCTATACAATATTTCCATCTATCTATCTGGCTCTATCTGTTCATTATCTATCTATCTACATCTATTTTCTGGATATCTACATCTATTTTCTACATCTATTTCATATCTATTCATCTATCTATATCAATATTTCCATCTATATATCTATCTATTTTCTGGCTCGGTCTGTTCATATCTACATCTATCAATCTGGCTCAGTCTGTTCTATAGAGTATCATCTATTTATCTGGCTCAGTCTGTTCATCATATCTACATCTATTTTCTGGCCTATTGTTCTATCTATATCTATCTATCTGGCTCCCCGTGTTCATATCTATACAATTCTATCTATCTGGCTCTGTTCATATCTATAGAGTATCTACATCTATTTTCTTTCTGTTCTCATCTATTATCTATCCATCTATCTATCTGGCTCCATCTGTTCATATCTATAGAGTATCTATCTATTTTATCTGGATCATCTATCTGTTCATATCTATACAATATTTCCATCTATCTACAATCTATAGAGTATCTATCTATTTTCTGGCTCATATGTTCTGTTCAATATTTCCATCTATCTATCTGGCTCGGTCTGTTCATCTATAGAGTATCTACATCTATTTTCTGTTCTCTGTTCATATCTATACAATATTTCCATCTATCTCTGGCTATCTATACAATATTTCCATCTATCTATCTGGCTCATATCTCTGTTTCCATATCTATCTGTTCATATCTATCTCTACATCTATTTTCTGCTCGGTCTGTTCATATCTATACAATATTTCCATCTATCTATCTGGCTCGGTCTGTTCATATCTATAGAGATTTTCTGGTATCTACATCTATCTTCCATCTATCTATCTGGCTATCATCTGTTCATATCTATAGAGTATCTACATCTATTTTCTGGCTCGGTCTGTTATCATATCTATACATATCTCTATCTATCTGTCCCCTGTTCTCCATCTATCTATCTGGCTCGGTCTGTTCATATCTATCAATATCTATCTCTATCTACTCATCTATTTTTATCTGGATCTATCTGTTCATCCATCTCTATAGATCTACATCTATCTTCTACATCTCTTTTCTGGCTCGGTCTGTTCTATCTATACAATATTTCCATCTATCTATCTGGCTCGGTCTGTTCAATCTATATCTATCTCTTTTCTATCTCTATCTCTATCATCTATTTTCTGGATCGGTCTGTTCATATCTATAGACTATTCTATCTATCTATCTATTTTCTCCTAGCTTTCAATCTATCTATCCATCTATTCATCTCTTTATATACAATCTATTTCCATCTATCTATCTATCTTTTTCTGGCTCCTTTTCTATCTATCTATCTATTCCATCTATCTATCTGAATCTAGTTCATCTATCTATATCAATCTACATCTATTTTCTGGCTCGGTCTGTTCATATCTATACAATATTTCCATCTATCTATCTGGCTCGGTCTGTTCTATCTATCTGTTCTATTTTCTCTCTATATCTATCCATCTTCTATCTATCTATTTTCTGGATCTATCTATTTTCTGTTCATCTCCGTTCTTATCTATCTATCTATCTCCATCTATCTATCTGGCTCGGTCTGTTCATATCTATACTATATTTCCATCTATCTATCTGGCTCTATCTATCTGTTCTATTCATATCTATAGATCTATCTACATCTATTTTCTGGATCGGTCTGTTCATATCTATATCTATCTATCTATCTATCTACATCTATCCATTTTCTTATCTCTATCTCTGTTCATATCTATACTATCTTTCCATCTATCTATCTCGGTCTGTTCTATCTATAGAGTATCTCTCTATATCTATTTTCTCTATCGGTCTGTTCATATCTATAGAGTATCTACATCTATTTTCTGGCTCGGTCTGTTCCATCTATCTATCTATCTTCTCTCATCTATCCCCTTCTATATCTATCTATCTATCCCCGTTCTTATCTATCTATCTATCTACATCTATTTTCTGGATCTCTCCGTTCATATCTATCTTCTATCCCTGGATCTATAGAGTATCTACATCTATTTTCTGGCTCTATCTGTTCATATCTATTCTTAATCTTTCCTATCTGGCTCTATCTGTTCCCCGTTCTATACAATCTACATCTATTTTCCATCTATCTATCTTATCTGGCTCTGGTCCCTGTTCATATCTATCTATCTATCCGTATCTATCTATCTATTTTCTTATCTATCTATCTGTCCATCTATTCTATCTATAGAGTATCTATCATCTATTTTCTGGCTATCTATTCTGTTTTCATCTATCTATCTGGCAATCTATTATCCATCTATCTATCTTCTATCATCTATCTATCTATCTATCTATCTATCTATAGTCTATCTATCTGGTTCCCTGTTCTTATCAATCTATCTTTCCATCTCCCCTGTTCTTATCTCGTCTATCTATCCTCTATCTCATATCTTTATCTCCATGTTCTTCTATCCATCATCTATCTATCTATCTCTGTCTATCCATATCTATACATCTACATCTATCTTTCTGGCTCGGTCTGTTCTTATCTATCTATCCATCTCTGGCTCGGTCTGTTCATTCTATATCTATATCTATTTCCATCGGTCTGTTCTTATCTATCTATCTATCTATTCTGGATCTATCTGTTCATCTATATCAATATTTCCATCTATCTATCTGGCTCAGTCTGTTCATATCTATAGATCTATCTATCATCTATTTTCTGGCTCTATCTGTTCATATCTATATCTATACAATTCTCTTTCCTATCCATCTATCTGGCTCTATTCTTATTCTGTTTCTATCTATAGAGTTCTCTATCATCTATTTTCTGGCTCCCCTTTCTGAACACTTCTGTTCATATCTATACAATATTTCCATCTGGTTCTATCTGTCGGTCTGTTCATATCTATATCTATCTATCTGGCTATCTACATCTATTTTTCTGGATCTATCTATTCATCTATCTATCTTTTCAGTCTATCTATCATCTATTTTCTGGCTCATCTGTTCATATCTATACAATATTTCCATCTATCTATCTGGCTCGGTCTGTTCATATCTATAGAGTATCTACATCTATTTTATCTATCTGGCTCGGTCTGTTCTGTTCTATCTATCTATCCAATATCTTCCATCTATCTATCTGGCTCGGTCTGTTCATATCTATAGAGTATCTACATCTATTTTCTGGATCGGTTCTATTATCAATCCATTTCCATTCTTATCTATCTATCCATATCTATCTTATCAATCTATCTGGCTCGGTACATATCTCTGTTCTATCTATCTATCTATCAATATCCATCCCTATCTTATTTTCAATCTATCTATCTTCATATCTTATCTATCTATCTGTTCCTACATCTATTTTCTGGATCGGTCTGTTCATATCTATAGATCTATCTACATCTATTTTCTGGCTCGGTCTGTTCATATCTATACAATCTTTCCATCTATCTATCTGGCTCGGTCTGTTCATATCTATACAATATCTATCCCCGTTTTATCAGTTTCATATCTATATCAGAGTATCTACATCTATTTTCTGGATCGGTCTGTTCATATCTATAGAGTCTCTATCTATAGAGTATCTATTTTCTGGCTCGGTCTGTTCATATCTATCTATCTGGATCGTTCTTCATATCTATATTCTATCCATCTATCTATCTCTATCTATCTCAGTCTGTTCATATCTATCTATCTATCAATATTTCCATCTATCTGGCTCGGTCTGTTCATATATCTATAGAGTATCTACATCTATTTTCTGGATCGATCTGTTCATATCTATACAATATTTCCATCTATCTATCTGAATCGGTCTGTTCCTATCTATAGAGTATCTATCTATTTTCTGGATCGATCTGTTTATATCTATACAATATCTCCATCTATCTATCTGGCTCAGTCTGTTCATATCTATAGAGTATCTACATCTATTTTCTGGCTCTATCATCTATCTCGTTCATATCTATACAATATTTCCATCTATCTATCTGTCATCTGTCTCCGGTCTGTTCCATCTATCTATAGAGTATCTACATCTATTTTCTGGATCGATCTGTTCATATCTTCATACAATATTTCCATCTATCTATCTGGCTCGGTCTGTTCATATCTATAGATCTACATATTTTCCATCTGTTCTATATCTACATCTATTTTCTGGTTCCTTATCTATAAATTTATCTATCAATCGGTCTGTTCATATCTATCTATGTCATCATATCTATCTATTTTTCTGGATCCAGTTCATATCTATATCTATCTTTTTCTGGCTCGGTCTGTTCATATCTATACAATATTTCCATCTATCTATCTGGCTCGGTCTGTTCATATCTATAGAGTATCTACATCTATTTTCTGGCTCGGTCTGTTCATATCTATACAATATTTCCATCTATCTATCTGGCTCGGTCTGTTCATATCTATAGAGTTTCTGGATCTACATCTATTTTTTATCTATCTATCTCGGTCTGTTCATATCTATACAATCCATCCATCTATCTATCTGGCTCGGTTTGTTCATATCTATAGAGTATCTACATCTATTTTCTGGATCGGTCTGTTCATATCTATAGAGTATCTACATCTATTTTCTGGCTCGGTCTGTTCATATCTATACAATATTTCCATCTATCTATCTGGCTCGGTCTGTTCATATCTATAGAGTATCTACATCTATTTTCTGGATCGGTCTGTTCCATCTTGCTATCTGTTCTATCTATCCATCCCTATCTACATCTATTTTCTGGCTCGGTCTGTTCATATCTATACAATATTTCCATCTATCTATCTGGCTCGGTCTGTTCATATCTATAGAGTATCTACATCTATTTTCTGGCTCGGTCTGTTCATATCTATACAATATTTCCATCTATCTATCTGGCTCGGTCTGTTCATATCTATAGAGTATCTACATCTATTTTCTGGCTCAGTCTGTTCATATCTATCTAATCTATTTTCTGGCCATCTATCTATCTGCTCGGTCTGTTATCTATCTATCTATATCTATCTATCTACATCTATTTTCTGGCTCGGTCTGTTCATATCTATACAATATTTCCATCTATCTATCTGGCTCGGTCTGTTCATATCTATAGAGTATCTACATCTATTTTCTGGATCGGTCTGTTCATATCTATAGAGTATCTACATCTATTTTCTGGCTCGGTCTGTTCATATCTATACAATATTTCCATCTATCTATCTGGCTCAGTCTGTTCATATCTATAGAGTATCTACATCTATTTTCTGGATCGGTCTGTTCATATCTATAGAGTATCTACATCTATTTTCTGGCTCGGTCTGTTCATATCTATACAATATTTCCATCTATCTATCTGGCTCGGTCTGTTCATATCTATAGAGTATCTACATCTATTTTCTGGCTCGGTCTGTTCATATCTATACAATATTTCCATCTATCTATCTGGCTCAGTCTGTTCATATCTATAGAGTATCTACATCTATTTTCTGGCTCGGTCTGTTCATATCTATACAATATTTCCATCTATCTATCTGGCTCGGTCTGTTCATATCTATAGAGTATCTACATCTATTTTCTGGCTCGGTCTGTTCATATCTATACAATATTTCCCTCTATCTATCTGGCTCGGCCTGTTCATATCTATAGAGTATCTACATCTATTTTCTGGATCGGTCTGTTCATATCTATAGAGTATCTACATCTATTTTCTGGATCGGTCTGTTCATATCTATACATTATTTCCATCTATCTATCTGGCTCAGTCTGTTCATATCTATAGAGTATCTACATCTATCTATCTGGCTCGGTCTGTTCATATCTATCTATCTACAGAGGCCTAAGAAAAGGTTTTAGCCAGTTGATTGAAACGAAACAACTTTTATTAAGAGTAATTTCAAGTATATTTTCAAGAGTAATTTCCCTTAAAGTTTTATTTTTTTGTGACTGAAAACGAGGTCGGTTTTCCAACCTTTCAAGGCGTGGGAAAAAAGTAAAGGAAAGTTCTAATGTCCAGAGTCGGAAGCAGTAACTACTTGGTCAGGTTTTGGGCAATTCAAAGCTGAAAAAGTCCAGTGTCCAGAGTCGGAAGCAGTAACTACCTGGTCGGGGTTTTGGCCAGTCAGAGCTGAAAAAAGTTTAGTGTCCAAAGTTCGAAGTAGTAACTACCTGGTCTGGTTTTGGGTCATTCAGAGCTGAAAAAAGTTTAGTGTCCAAAGTCCGAAGCAGTAACTAGATGGTCGGGTTTCCGGCCATTCAGAGGTGAAAGATTCTAGTGTTCATAGCCCGAAGCAGTAATTTAACAGATCGGGGTTTTGACCAGTCAGAGATGAAGAAATCTACTGTCCAGAGTCCGAAGCAGTAACTACCTGGTCGGGATTTTGGCCATTCAGAGCTGAAAAATGTCTAGAGTCCATGCCGAATTGAAAAAGGTAGACATTCTTGTCAATCTGATTGGTTTCAAATAGCAGTCCTTTCTCTAATATTTGACAGTATTTTGGACTATTCAACTGCTCGTCAACAAAAATCAATTCAGATTTCTCTCTAAACAAAACAGCGTCCCACACCATTATTCCAATCCTTCCATGTTTCACGGTCGCCTGCAGGCATTCAGTGTTCCAAATCTCATTCTGATTTCTCCAAACATATACCAATCTCGAATTAGAATATTGGCAGAATTTACTTTGATCTGACCAAATTACAGACTGCAAAATTCATAATCTTTGCTCTCGAATTCTCTTGCCCAGTACATATGAAGGTTCCTGTTAACCTCTGAAATCAAGAGCTTCTTTTTTGGCAACTCTTTGATACCCTAGCTCTTTCAGAGCCTTTCTTACCGCATATGGCGATATTGCCATGCTGATGGCGACGTCTTTGACTCTCTGACGACGGTTTCTGATGACTTCCATCTTCAGCGACCTTTCCGTTCATTTAGACACGATGCTTGGTCTTCTTAAACGTTGTTCCATACGACAATGGCCTTCTTCATTAAATTTCTTGACAATATTATTAACTTTTTGATGATTAACCTAGAAAAACCTAGCAATTTCTCTATTTGACATGCCAAATTGATGCCATCCTGTTATTCGCTCTCGTTGAAATTTACCAATTTCTTTACTTCCCCGAACTTTCATTGCAAGATATAAGTCAACTATCGTTCACAGATGAGAGTAGCTTGATACTAACACGGTATTGCCTAAAAAATAAAAGAAGAGACATTATTACAAAAGCCAAAATTGGTGTAATCATAGGTGGCTAAAAACTTATCATAGCCCACTGTATCTCAATCTGTTCATGACTATTGTTTCAAGAATCGGAAACCCGTTGAAACTGTCAAAAGGAAAAATGTGGCATAATCTAGACAATTAAGTCCAGATTTTCGATCAACTCTTATCAAAGACGATCGTTAATGAATTTAAAATGTTAAACCATAAAACAGAATTACAATCAAGGTTTATCTGTCATCTCGCAAAAAAATGTAAGAGTCAGAAAGAAGTAAAAATTAAGATAAGTCGGGTAACTTCAAGGAGTAAAGAATGATCTTCTGTTTGCACTGAGAGAGTTGATGTCGAAAATAGATCTGTATATTATAATACACTAACTTCTATCTTGATTTAAGTATCAGAATCTAAAATAGAAATTGGCATAATTTTGTATAGAGTTCTGTTTTCGATTCTTCAAATGGAATGAAGTCATAAGTTAGTATAATACCAAACAGTGATCTATTTTCAGTTCTGAGATTTGAATCAAGTCTGAAGTTAATATGGTAACATGTAAACATCTGACTTCATTCAAGTCTCAGAATCGAAAATAGATCACTGTTTGGTATTATATAAACTTGGGGCTTCATTCAAGTCATTCAAGTCTCAAAATCGAAAATAATCTCTGGTTTGTATTATACTAACTTGGGTCTTGATTCAAGTTTCAGAATCGAAAACAGATCACTGTTTGGTATTATTTTAATTTGTGACTTGATTCAAGTTTTAGAATCGGAAATAGATCTCTGGTTGGTATTATATTAACTTGGGACTTGATTCAAGTCGCAGAATCGGAAATAGATCGCTGGTTGGTATTATATTAACATGGAGCTTGATTCGAGTTTCAGAATCGAAAAAGATCTCTGTGCAGGACTATACTAATTTCTAACTTAATTTAACTTTAAATAAAAGAAATAAGTTTATAAGTTCAAATAGTCGAATAGAGAAAAAACAGGAATACTTTCAATCAAAAATCATTAATTTTTTTTTTTTTACAAAAAAAGCAAAATTCTACCAATGACTTTTAATAAAGATGGACAGTGTAACTAATAAACATTTTTTCGATTTCCCCTAAAGTTTCTGACTGCATGTGCGCAGCATTTAGGATGTTCATGCAAAACACTGTAAATGCGTGTTTAATTATTTTCACAAATAAGTGTAATATTGTATGTCCCAAATGGGAGTGTTCATAAGGAGTCGTTACTCGCATGCAGCGGATATGTTTGACTCTACACTGGGATGTAAGTCTTTTACAAGTATAATCTTGCGGTTGGCACATCAGTTCTTATACGGGTAAGTGTCAGCGATGTCACATGCTTAGATTTAGGGTGACACGCAGACTTAACAGATATTCAACGAAATGTTTATAGTTCGTAGTCAGTATCAAATTAAATTCTAATGTTTGCGGTGACGTACAGGATTGGCTTGAATGGTAAAGAAAAAAAGAAAAAATTCAAGGCTTGTTTGATTCAGACACAAGAATGGTAATGGTAATATTAGCCATTTCCATAAGGAAACATTCGGCATTTATTAACCGAGCAGCCAGTGCTACTCAAATTAAGCTTTTCTCAACTCCCTAGACATCGTGCTTGGATCAAAGTGTAGTATCTGTTCTCCTAATCTGTAATTTTAAAGGTAATATTAGCTGTTTCCTTATAAGGAAACATTCGGCATTCATTGACCGAGCAGCCAGTATTGATATCGGATGAATTTATAAAATCTTTCTCTTCATTTTTAAGGAAAATATGTTTCTCAAGTCCAGTAGTTGTTATCCCTCTTTCCACTATTGATTGGAGTTTCCTTCCTAACCTTTTATTTGAAGTAGAGTGGAATATCAACATCTTGATTATGTTATTATTCTCTCTATCACGTGAAATCCATTTTATTTGTTGCTGTTTTTGAAAGTCCTCAAGCGATGTGGTTTCTGTTATTTGGTACAGTTCTTTAACTTGAAAAAGAGTGGCTATTTAATTTGACAGTGCAAATTTATCTCATTTATAAAATGGCTTTATAATTTAACAACATGAATATAGCTCATTTATAAGCAAAGTGGCTTTTCAATTTAATATTAATGCGAATGTAGCCTACAGTATCTGTCTATATTTCGGAGATGAGGTATTATATACACTATTTACATTATTCGGACTCATTTTTGTCGCCATACTTATTACAACGTTTCGGCCGTTGTACGCTCCGGCTTTCTTCAGATGGTTGGAATGTCGAACTGAACCTTTTCAGGTAAGGCTTCAAGAACACCAGAAAGCTGTAACACGAGGGGGAGTGGAAAAATCAGGCGTGGCTGACCACATATGGAGAGAGAAGGGAGATCACCGCCCTCTGTGGGATCGTGTTGAGATCATAGACAAGGAACACCATTAGAAAATTCGTAAACTTAAGGAATCAGCATATATGCTAGGTCACAAAAATCTTCTGAGCCGACCAAGCATAGAAATGAATACAATATGAGAGCCAGTAATAAGGAGTGATAATAACAAAAAAAAAAAAATGAAATATGAGATCTGATAAAAACATGATGTTAAACAAAAAAAAAATTACAATATGAGCACTGGTAAAAAAATAGTTGCTGAAGACATCAGGTTTATAATACCCAGAAATTCATACACAGGTGTCCTCAAGGACACATGGCACAGTGTATAAAGGCGTTGGTTAGATCCAGTGACAGGACCCAAAGAGTGTGAGTTCAATACCCGGTTAAAGCAGTGGAGAACTTGGAGAGGGGAATTAACAGGAGATAACTGATAACTGGCATCCATTAGACATGGCACGTGGAACTAGAACAGTCTACCCCAGTGAGCGAAATAAAGGGTTCAGTTTACAACGGCCAAAACGTTGTAATAAATATGGTGACAAAGATGAGGACAATAGTCCGAGTAATTTAAATCGCGAATGTAGCCTATTTTTAACCAAAGTTGTTTTTTTTACTTGAATCTGTTTAGTTCAAGGAATTTCATTCGTCAGACAAAATGTTTTTTTTTTAATTATTTGGCTATTACGTTCAGTCACAATTAAATTAAAACAATTACTAGGTCTGTGAGAATTATGGATACATGATTTCGAATACATTTAAACATAAAATTATTTTGTTTAAATGTTTCAGAAATATTCACGATATTAAAAAAATATATAAAAAATAATACATTTTATATAAATGTTTCCTCCATAAAAATAAATATTTTACGCTATTGTTCACCAAATAAAAGTCCCAAGAGCCACTTAAGGTAGAGGGTTATTGAGTAGGCTTCAAACTTGAAGACGTTAAGATTGCAGTGGTCGAGAAAGCATCACCTTGGGAGTTTGTTTCACACAGTAGCAGCTCTTGAGAAGAAGAATCCGTCTGAATGGATATTTCATTCTTATTAATGGAATACAAAGGGAATGAGGCTGGTTCGACCCTAAGGACATGTCATTGGGAGTGGGGGCTAAGCTTTAAATTTTTGTTAGAACATTTTTCATCAAAAATAGCGATAAGCTGACGACAATGAATCTGTAGGAATGGTGTTGTATGTGGAGGAATAATTTATCACCCACACGGATCCGTAACGGTTTTTAAATCTGTCGAGACTGGAAAGAAAGCACTGAGGAGCTTCAGTCCAAGTATAGCAGCAATGCTCTTTTTTTTGTCTAATCTGACTTTCTGGGTGGGTATCAAACCGACCATTTTTCCAGCGTCTTTAACGATGGATCATATATACGAATCATATTTTTATATTTGAGGTGAACTTAAATCCCAATAGATGCTCAAATATAAGGAACCTCTTTGAGAATTAATCGTTACTGGTGAGAATTTAGGCACTGCTCGGTGATGATGAAAGTTATTAATTTAGTTTTAATCCGTTGAAAGTTACAAGCCAGTTTTCAATCCTAGGTCTGTTAGAGCTCGGTCAGATGAGAGATCAGCTACCAGACCCTGGAAATCTTGATTTTTGGAGTTGGACCCATAGACTGTGGTACCATCTACATAGATAGTTGCTAATGATCTGAGAACGCGTTTAGGTAGATCGTTTAAATCAAAAGAAAAGCAAATCTTCAGCTACAAAAATTAGCATAAAAATTTATTTTAAAAGGAATTAAAAATCTCTGGCGATCTCTAAAAGATGTTATTATTGAAATTCATCTGGAAGCTATTTCATACAAGTTATACGAAATTTTGGCAAGCTTCGAAACCAAAAAAAAGAAGAAAAAGTAACTAAATGAACAAGATAAAAAAATCCAAGCAGAAGAAACGGAGGAAAAGGAGAAAGAAGAAAAAAAGGAAGCAATGAAGAAAAGAAACAGAAGGAAAGAAAGAAAACGAAAAAGAAGAGAGAGTAAGGGACAGAAGAAATAGATAAAGAAAACAGAAATAAGGTTAAAGAAAAGCAAAAGAAAAAGAAAGTAAATCGTTAAAAATTAAAAAAAAAATAAGTAAGAAAGGGGGTAAAGAAAAAAAGATGGAAAGAGATAAAAAAAGGAAAGGGAATGAAATGAGGAAATAGAAGAAAAAGGAAGGGACACAGGAAAAAAAAAGAAAGGTGAGCCGTAAATAAAAAAAAGAAGAGCGGTAAGGAAAAACGACAGCGGTAAATAAAAAGAGAACGGTAAATAATAAAAGGAGAGCGGTAAAGAATAAAAGTAGAGCATCAAAGAAAAAAGGAGAGCGATAAATAAAAAAATGAGAGCGCTAAAGAATAAAAAGAGAGCGGTAAATAAAATAGGAGAACGATTAAAAAAAAGGAGAGCGGTAAAGAAAAAAGGTGAGCGGTAAATAAAATAGGAGCACGGTAAAAAAAAGGAGAGCGGTAAAGAAAAAAGTGGAGCGGTAAATAAAATAGGAGAACGGTTAAAAAAAAGGAGAGCGGTAAAGAAAAAAGGAGAGCGGTAAATAAAATAGGAGAACGGTTAAAAAAAGGAGAGCGGTAAAGAAAAAGAGGAGAGCGGTAAATAAAATAGGAGCACGGTTAAAAAAAAGGAGAGCGGTAAAGAATAAAAGGAGAGCGGTAAATAAAATAGGAGAACGGTTAAAAAAAGGAGAGTGGTAAAGAATAAAAAGAGAGCGGTAAATAAAATAGGAGCACGGTTTAAAAAAAGAAGAGCGGTAAAGAAAAAAGGAGAGCGGTAAATAAAATAGGAGAACGGTTAAAAAAAGGAGAGCGGTAAAGAAAAAAGGAGAGCGGTAAATAAAATAGGAGAACGGTTAAAAAAAGGAGAGCGGTAAAGAATAAAAGGAGAGCGGTAAATAAAATAGGAGAACGGTTAAAAAAAAGGAGAGCGGTAAAGAAAAAAAGGAGAGCGTTAAAAAATGATGAGAGAAAGTGTTTTTCATTTGTGCTTGGTTGGTGATATAACTCAAGAAATCAAACAAATTCTTACGAATAACAGCAGGGTGCTATATCCCAAGCTGTAAAAAAAATACAGCTAGTAGAAGCATTAAGCATAAAAAAAACAAACAACCCATCACCAATAAAATGACATCAAATTTAAAGCCCAACATTCTAAATATACAGGAGGCTTCAACGGTAGTTATAGAATAAATACAGCAGCAAGACGACTTCTACTTTCAACAGCATGGGGCGCCAACACACTTCGCACTCCTCGTGCGTGCGCTACTTGACAAAGAATTTCCCAACAGGTGTATTGGATGCCGAGGGGTGATTGCCCAGCCACTACGTTCATCAGATCTCACCCCTGTGGACTTCTTTTTCTGGGGATGTGTGTGGTTTTAGCACGCGAGCCACGTTCTGTTGATGCCATGATTCAGCTCATACGGGAGGCTTGTCAGGAAACTGATGCTGATAAAGACCTTTGTGCCAGAGTGTGCATGAGTTTCAACTCTCAACACGAGGAGTGTGTGAATGCTGGTGGCAAATGGTCTGAACATTTAGCAAATTGATATGATTATTACTGATCTGTTTGAATAATCAATACAGTATGTTTTGTGTGGACGTTTGGGCTGTCATTACTGTATACCTACTTTTGCCTCACCGCCTTGGTTTTCTCAGATATTGGAAAATATATTATGAACCAGAAACCAAGAAAATAACCCGGAACATTAAGAAAAAAAATTGCAGCCCAAATAATATTATTGTATGCGTGTCTGTTTGTATATCTTGCAGTGTGTGGAAATCAAATATAGCAAGGACTTACCGGTACATTTTATGGACTAATGTACAAACAAAGAACAATACATCGAAGAACATAGTAGAAACGATAAGATTCTTCCATGTTTCATGTCTCTTGAGGATGTGGGTGATCATGGCTCTCCTCAAGTAGATCGAGTATCCTGTAAGTATTAAAGTCTCTAATCCCTCCTTCTCCATTATGTATGTCAGAAATTTCATCTGTGGCAAGCTCAGCATTTATAGGCAGTACTATGCTCTGTGGCAAGCTCAGCATTCTTCTGTAGAACCACGCTCAGTGGCAAGCTCAGCATTATTCTGCAGATCCATGCCCAGTGGCAAGCTCAGCATTCTTCTGTAGAACCACGCTCAGTGGCAAGCTCAGCATTCTTCTGCAGATCCATGCTCACTGGCAAGCTCAGCATTCTTCTGTAAAACCACGCTCAGTGGCAAGCTCAGCATTCTTCTGCAGATCTACACTCTGTGGCAAGCTCGGCATTCTTCTGCAGAACCAAGCTCAGTGGCAAGCTCAGTATTCTTCTGCAGATTCATGCTCAGTGGCAAAGTCAGCATTCATCTGCAGTACTACGCTCTGTGGCAAGCTCAGCATTCTTCTGTAGAACCCCGCTCTGTGGCAAGCTGAGCGTTCTTATGTAGATCCATGCTAAGTGGCAAGCTCAGCATTCTTATGTAGAACCCCGCTCAGTGGCAAGCTGAGCGTTCTTATGTAGATCCATGCTAAGTGGCAAGCTCAGCATTCTTCTGTAGAACCACGCTCTGAGGCAAGCTGTGCGTTCTTATAGATCCATGCTAAACACGCTCTGTGGCAAGCTCAGCATTCTTCTGTAGAACCACGCTCTGTGGCAAGCTGAGGCAAACTGTGCGTTCTTATGTAGATCCATGCTAAGTGGCAAGCTCAGCATTCTTATGTAGAACCACGCTCTGTGGCAAACTGTGCGTTCTTATGTAGATCCATGCTATGGCAAGCTCAGCATTCTTCTGTAGAACCACGCTCTGTGGCAAGCTGAGCGTTCTTATGTAGATCCATGCTATGGCAAGCTCAGCATTCTTATGTAGAACCCCGCTCAGTGGCAAGCTGAGCGTTCTTATGTAGATCCATGCTAAGTGGCAAGCTCAGCATTCTTCTGTAGAACCACGCTCTGAGGCAAGCTGTGCGTTCTTATGTAGATCCATGCTAAGTGGCAAGCTCAGCATTCTTCTGTAGAACCACGCTCTGTGGCAAGCTGAGCGTTCTTATGTAGATCCATGCTAAGTGGCAAGCTCAGCATTCTTCTGTAGAACCACGCTCTGTGGCAAGCTGAGCGTTCTTATGTAGATCCATGCTAAGTGGCAAGCTCAGCATTCTTCTGTAGAACCACGCTCTGTGGCAAGCTGAGCGTTCTTATGTAGATCCATGCTAAGTGGCAAGCTCAGCATTCTTCTGTAGAACCACGCTCTGTGGCAAGCTGAGCGTTCTTATGTAGATCCATGCTAAGTGGCAAGCTCAGCATTCTTCTGTAGAACCCCGCTCTGTGGCAAGCTGAGCGTTCTTATGTAGATCCATGCTAAGTGGCAAGCTCAGCATTCTTCTGTAGAACCCCGCTCTGTGGCAAGCTGGAGCGTTCTTATGTAGATCCATGCTAAGTGGCAAGCTCAGCATTCTTCTGTAGAACCCCGCTCTGTGGCAAGCTGAGCGTTCTTATGTAGATCCATGCTATGGCAAGCTCAGCATTCTTCTGTAGAACCCCGCTCTGTGGCAAGCTGAGCGGTCTTATGTAGATCCATGCCAAGTGGCAAGTTCAGCATTCTTCTGTAGAACCCGCTCGGCAAGCTGAGCGTTCTTTGTAGATCCATGCCAAGTGGCAAGCTCAACGTTCTTCTGTAGAACCATGCCTGTGGTTCTTATGTAGCCATGCCAGTTCAGCATTCTTCTGTAGAACCCGCTCTGTGGCAAGCTGAGCGTTCTTGCGTAGATCCATGCCAAGTGGCAAGCTCAGCATTCTTCTGTAGAACCACGCTCTGTGGCAAGCTGAGCGTTCTTATGTAGATCCATGCTAAGTGGCAAGCTCAGCATTCTTCTGTAGGACCACGCTCTGTGGCAAGCTGAGCGTTCTTATGTAGATCCATGCTAAGAGGCATGCATTCCTCATGGACCACGCTGGCAAGCTCGTTCTTATGCATCCATGCTAAGGGCAAAACAGCATTCTTCTGTAGAACCACGCTCTGTGGCAAGCTGAGCGTTCTTAAGATCCATGCTAAGTGGCAAGCTCAGCATTCTTCTGTAGGACACGCTCTGTGGCAAGCTGAGCGTTCTTATGTGAATCCATGCTAAGTGGCAAGCTCAGCATTCTTCTGCAGAACCACGCTCTGTGGCAAGCTGAGACAATCGCCATGCTAAGCAAGCTGAGCGTTCTTCTGTAGATCCATGCTGAGAGGCAAGCTCAGCATTCTTCTGTAGCACCACGCTTCTGTGGCCACGCTCTGAGCGTTCTTATGTAGATCCATGCTAGGTGGCAAGCTCAGCATTCTTCTGTGGGACCACGCTCTGTGGCAAGCTGGAGATCGTTCTTATGTAGATCCATGCTAAGTGGCGTTCTTATGCCATGCTAAGTGGCAGCATTCTTCTGTAGAACCACGCTCTGTGGCAAGCTGAGCGTTCTTGTCGATCCATGCTAGTCGATCTGTAGAACCTAAGTGTGCAAGCTTCCAGCATTCTTCTGTAGAACCACGTGCTAAGCTGGCAAGCTGCTAAGTGAGCGTTCTGTGGCAAGTTGAGATCCATGCTAAGTGGCAAGCTCAGCATTCTTCTGTAGAACCACGCTCTGTGGCAAGCTGAGCGTTCTATGTAGATCCATGCTAAGTGGCAAGCTCAGCATTCTTCTGTAGAACCACGCTCTGTGGCAAGCTGAGCGTTCTTATGTAGATCCATGCTAAGTGGCAATTCTTCTGTAGAACCCCGCTCTGTGGCATGCTTCTGTTAGAACCACGCTAGTGGCAAGCAGCGTTCTTATGTAGATCCATGCTAAGTGGGAAGCCAGCATTCTTCTGTAGGGACCACGCTCTGTGGCAAGCTGAGCGTTCTTATGTAGATCCATGCTAAGTGGCAAGCTCAGCATTCTTCTGTAGAACCACGCTCTGTGGCAAGATGAGCGTTCTTATGTAGATCCATGCTAAGTGGCAAGCTCAGCATTCTTCTGTAGGACCACGCTCTGTGGCAAGTTGAGCGTTCTTATGTAGATCCATGCTATGGCAAGCTCTGCATTCTTCTTATGTAGAACCACGCTAAGTGGCAAGGAACCCCGCTCTGTGGCAAGCTGGAGCGTTCTTATGTAGATCCATGCTAAATGGCAAGCTCAGCATTCTTCTGTGAACCCGCTCTTTGGCAAGCACGTTCTTGTGGCAAGCTCAGCGTTCTTATGTAGATCCATGCGTTCTTATGTGAAGCTGGCAAGCTCAGCATTCTTCTGTGGAACCCCCGCTCTGTGGCAAGCTGAGCGTTCTTATGTAGATCCATGCTAGTGGCAGCTCAGCATTTTTCTGTAGAACCCGCTCTGTGGCAAGCTGAGCGTTCTTATGTAGATCCATGCCAAGTGGCAAGCTCAGCATTCTTCTGTAGAACCCCGCTCTGTGGCAAGCTGGGCGTTCTTATGTAGATCCATGCTAAAGTGGCAAGCTCAGCATTCTTCTGTAGAACCCTGCTCTCTGTGGCAAGCTGAGCGATCTTATGTAGATCCATGCTAAGTGGCAAGCTCAGGATTCTTCTGTAGAACCCGCTCTGTGGCAAGCTGGAGCGTTCTTATGTAGATACATGCTAAGTGGAAAGCTCAGCATTCTTCTGTAGAACCCGCTCTGTGGCAAGCTGAGCGTTCTTATGTAGATCCATGCTAAGTGGCAAGCTCAGCATTCTTCTGTAGAACCCGCTCTTTGGCAAGCTGGAGCGTTCTTATATAGATGATGTAGATCCATGCATTCTTCTGTAGAACCCCGCTCTGTGGCAAGCTCAGCATTCTTCTGTAGAACCCCTTCTGTAGCTCTTTGGCAAGCTGAGCGTTCTTATGTAGATCCATGCCAAGTGGCAAGCTCAGCATTCTTCTGTAGAACTCCGCTCTGTGGCAAGCTGAGCGTTCTTGTGTAGATCCATGCTAAGTGGCAAGCTCAGCATTCTTCTGTAGAACCACGCTCTGTGGCAAGCTGAGCGTTCTTATGTAGATCCATGCTAAGTGGCAAGCTCAGCATTCTTCTGTAGAACCCCGCTCTGTGGCAAGCTGAGCGTTCTTATGTAGATCCATGCTAAGTGGAAAGCTCAGCATTCTTCTGTAGAAACCGCTCTGTGGCAAGCTGAGCGTTCTTATGTATCCATGCTAAGTGGCAAGCTCAGCATTCTTCTGTAGAACCCGCTCTGTGGCAAGCTGAGCGTTCTTATGTAGATCCATGCCAAGTGGCAAGCTCAGCATTCTTCTGTAGAACCCCGCTCTTTGGCAAGCTGAGCGTTCTTATGTAGATCCATGCTAAGTGGCAAGCTCAGCATTCTTCTGTAGAACCCCGCTCTGTGGCTTGATGAGCGTTCTTATGTAGATGATGCTAAGCGCATTCTTCTGTAGAACCCCGCTCTGTGGCAAGCTGAGCGTTCCTTATGTAGATCCATGCTAAGGGCAAGCTCAGCATTCTTCTGTACCAACCCGCTCTGTGGCAAGCTGAAGCGTTCTTCTGTAGATCCATGCCAAGTGGCAAGCTCAGCATTCTTCTTCTAGAACCCCGCTCTGTGGCAAGCTGAGCGTTCTTATGTGAATGCATGCTAAGTGGCAAGCTCAGCATTCTTCTGTAGAACCACGCTCTGTGGCAAGCTGAGCGTTCTTATGTAGATCCATGCTAAGTGGCAAGCTCAGCATTCTTCTGTAGGACCACGCTCTGTGGCAAGCTGAGCGTTCTTATGTAGATCCATGCTAAGTGGCAAGCTCAGCATTCTTCTGTAGGACCACGCTCTGTGGCAAGCTGAGCGTTCTTATGTAGATCCATGCTAAGAGGCAAGCTCAGCATTCTTCTGTAGCACCACGCTCTGTGGCAAGCTGAGCGTTCTTATGTAGATCCATGCTAAGTGGCAAGCTCAGCATTCTTCTCTGTGGCAAGCTGAGCGTTCTTATGTAGACCACGCTCTGTGGCAAGCTGAGCGTTCTTATGTGAATCCATGCTAAATTGGCAAGCTCAGCATTCTTCTGTAGATCCATGCTCTGTGGCAAGCTGCGTTCTTCAGAACCACGCTAAGTAGCAAGTATGGAGCATTCTTCTGCGATCCATGCTCTGTGGCAAGCTCAGCATTCTTATATTCTTCTGTAGAACCACGCTCTGTGGCAAGCTGAGCGTTCTTCTGTAGATCCATGCTAAAAGTGGCAAGCTCAGCATTCTTCTGTAGAACCACGCTCTGTGGCGCTGGAGCGTTCTTATGTAGATCCATGCTAAGTGGCAAGCTCAGCATTCTTCTGTAGGACCACGCTCTGTGGCAAGCTGAGCGTTCTTATGTAGATCCATGCTAAGAGGCAAGCTCAGCATTCTTCTGTAGCACCACGCTCTGTGGCAAGATGAGCGTTCTTATGTAGATCCATGCTAAGTGGCAAGCTCAGCATTCTTCTGTAGGACCACGCTCTGTGGCAAGCTGAGCGTTCTTATGTAGATCCATGCTAAGTGGCAAGCTCAGCATTCTTCTGTAGAACCACGCTCTGTGGCAAGCTGAGCGTTCTTATGTAGATCCATGCTAATGGCAAGCTCCAGCATTCTTCTCTAGGACCACGCTCTGTGGCAAGATGAGCGTTCTTATGTAGATCCATGCTAAGTGGGAAGCTCAGCATTCTTCTGTAGAACCACGCTCTGTGGCAAGCTGAGCGTTCTTATGTAGATCCATGCTAAGTGGCAAGCTCAGCATTCTTCTGTAGGCCCCGCTCTGTGGCAAGCTGAGCGTTCTTATGTAGAACCATGCTAAGTGGCAAGCTCAGCATTCTTCTGTAGAACCCCGCTCTGTGGCAAGCTGAGCGTTCTTATAGATCCATGCTAGAGTGGCAAGCTCAGCATTCTTCTGTAGGACCCCGCTCTGTGGCAAGCTGAGCGTTCTTATGTAGATCCATGCTAAGTGGCAAGCTCAGCATTCTTCTGTAGAACCCCGCTCTGTGGCAAGCTGAGCGTTCTTATGTAGATCCATGCTAAGTGGCAAGCTCAGCATTTTTCTGTAGATCCATGCTAGAACCCCTTCTGCCCCGCTGTGGCAAGCTGAGCGTTCTTATGTAGATCCATGCTAAGTGGCAAAGCTCAGCATTCTTCTGTAGAACCCGCTCTGTGGCAAGCTGAGCGTTCTTATGTAGATCCATGCTAAGTGGCAAGCTCAGCATTCTTCTGTAGAACCACGCTCTGTGGCAAGCTGAGCGTTCTTATGTAGATCCATGCTAGTGGCAAGCTCAGCATTCTTCTGTAGAACCCCGCTCTGTGGCAAGCTGAGCGTTCTTATGTAGATCCATGCTAAGTCTCAGCATTCTTCTGTGAACCACGCTCTGTGGCAAGCTGAGCGTTCTTATGTAGATCCATGCTAAGTAGGCAAGCTCAGCATTCTTCTGTAGTCTGTGGCAAGCTGAGCGTTCTTATGTAGATCCATGCTAAGTGGCAAGCTCAGCATTCTTCTGTAGAACCACGCTCTGTGGCAAGTTGGAGCGTTCTTATGTAGATCCATGCTAAGTGGCAAGCTCAGCATTCTTCTTAGAACCACGCTCTGTGGCAAGCTGAGCGTTCTTATGTAGATCCATGCTAAGGCAAGCTCAGCATTCTTCTGTAGAACCACGTTCTGTGGCAAGCTGAGCGTTCTTATGTAGATCCATGCTAAGTGGCAAGCTCAGCATTCTTCTGTAGAACCCGCTCTGTGGCAAGCTGAGCGTTCTTGTAGATCCATGCTAAGTGGCAAGCTCAGCATTTTTCTGTAGAACCCCGCTCTGTGGCAAGCTGAGCGTTCTTATGTAGATCCATGCCAAGTGGCAAGCTCAGCATTCTTCTGTAGAACCCCGCTCTGTGGCAAGCTGAGCGTTCTTATGTAGATCCATGCCAAGTGGCAAGCTCAGCATTCTTCTGTAGAACCCCGCTCTGTGGCAAGCTGAGCGATCTTATGTAGATCCATGCTAAGTGGCAAGCTCAGGATTCTTCTGTAGAACCCCGCTCTGTGGCATGAGCGTTCTTATGTAGATACATGCTAAGTGGAAAGCTCAGCATTCTTCTGTAGAACCCCGCTCTGTGGCAGCAAGCTGAGCGTTCTATGTAGATCCATGCTAAGTGGCAAGCTCAGCATTCTTCTGTAGAACCCCGCTCTGTGGCAAGCTGAGCGTTCTTATGTAGATCCATGCTAAGGCAAGCTCAGCATTCTTCTGTAGAACCCCGCTCTTTGGCAAGCTGAGCGTTCTTATGTAGATCCATGCTAAGTGGCAAGCTCAGCATTCTTCTGTAGAACTCCGCTCTGTGGCAAGCTGAGCGTTCTTATGTAGATCCATGCTAAGTGGCAAGCTCAGCATTCTTCTGTAGAACCCCGCTCTGTGGCAAGCTGAGCGTTCTTATGTAGATCCATGCCAAGTGGCAAGCTCAGCATTCTTCTGTAGAACCCCGCTCTTTGGCAAGCTGAGCGTTCTTATGTAGATCCATGCTAAGTGGAAAGCTCAGCATTCTTCTGTAGAAACCTGCTCTGTGGCAAGCTGAGCGTTCTTATGTAGATCCATGCTAAGTGGCAAGCTCAGCATTCTTCTGTAGAACCCCGCTCTGTGGCAAGCTGAGCGTTCTTATGTAGATCCATGCCAAGTGGCAAGCTCAGCATTCTTCTGTAGAACCCCCGCTCTTTTGGCAAGCTGAGCGTTCTTATGTAGATCCATGCTAAGTGGCAAACTCAGCATTCTTCTGTCTGTAGAACCCCGCTCTGTGGCAAGCTGAGCGTTCTTATGTAGATCCATGCTAAGTGGCAAGCTCAGCATTCTTCTGTAGAACCCCGCTCTGTGGCAAGCTGAGCGTTCTTATGTGAATCCATGCTAAGTGGCAAGCTCAGCATTCTTCTGTGTAGAACCCGCTCTGTGGCAAGCTGAGCGTTCTTATGTAGATCCATGCTAAGTGGCAAGCTCAGCATTCTTCTGTAGAACCCCGCTCTTTGGCAAGCTGAGCGTTCTTATGTATAGATGCATGCCAAGTGGCAAGCTCAGCATTCTTCTGTAGAACCACGCTCTGTGGCAAGCTGAGCGTTCTTATGTAGATCCATGCTAAGTGGCAAGCTCAGCATTCTTCTGTAGGACCACCCCGCTCTGTGGCAAGCTGAGCGTTCTTATAGAGATCCATGCTATGGCAAGCTCAGCATTCCTTCTGTAGGACCACGCTCTGCGGCAAGCTGAGCGTTCTTATGTAGATCCATGCTAAGAGGCAAGCTCAGCATTCTTCTGTAGCACCACACTCTGTGGCAAGCTGAGCGTTCTTATGTAGATCCATGCTAAGTGGCAAGCTCAGCATTCTTCTGT